GATTTACTGAAAAACACTGCTGAGGGGAACAGCAGGCAAGACAGGAGAGGTCTGCTGGGCCATGTGGGTCACCTCTCTGGAGGGGGATTGAACTCATGCTGCAGTGGCTGGCAATAAATAGCTTGCTAGTGTTGAGAGTTTAACCCCTGCGTTACCAGGAAGGCCCCTTGGTTTTGTTTGTTTGTTTGAACTAGTTCCACTGTAAGTCCTTGGACAGCACAGGTCCTGAGTTTGTTCCAGGGTCCAATTCAAATACTTGGTAAATGATGAAGCCTATACCTCTGTTTCTCACCTTTAAAGCAAGGGCAGAAGGCCTCCCTGGTGGCGCAGCAGGTAGAGCGCAGAGCGCTGTTTAGCTGTCTGCCATCTCTGCAGCACGGGATCAATTCCCGGCCGGCCAGGGAGAAACCAACTTGGCGTGGCAGACCTATCTCTCCTGTCTCGCCCGCTGCTCCCCTCAGCAGTATATTTCGGTCAATCTGCCTGTTCTGCTCCCCGATCTGCCTCTGGTGAATCCTCTCATCCTCCCCTGCCTCTGGCCTGTGCCCCCAGTTCTTGCATAAGTAAAAATAAATCTCAAAAAAAAAAAAAAAAAAGCATGGGCATATATCTCAACCATCTCATTTACCAATGAGAAGGGACATGGGGATGGCTTAGGCTCTGCCAATGAGTCTGGGCAGAGCTGACTGCTCTGCAATGTCTCTAGTCCTCTGTGTTAGTCCAGACCAGCTTAAGAGCAGACATTTTTATACACCAGGGAAATCCTATACGCCTACCAGATTTTAATTAAAAGTGCATACATATTTATTACCAAACATGATAATCATTTCTTAAGGTTACTAGACCCCCTGAGGTGCATTCTTGAATACCAGACACTAGTGGTCTTAGATATTCATTCTTCGGGCACAGATTTATTGACAGATTTATTGAGTATCTCCCATGTGTAGGGTATTATTCTAGTTCCTACCATGGAGTTTCCACCCAATTGGAGGCACTCAACCACACACATACACATAAGATAAAATGTCAGGGGTAAGTATTATGAGAAAAAAGGGAGAGAGGAAAGCAGTGCTATTTTACATGAGGTAGTCAGGGTAGGGGAAGATGCTTGCAGCAAAGGCAAGAAGAAAGTAAGGAACAAGGCATGAATATTCACTAGAATCTCCGAGGATGAAGGAACTGTAAAGAATAAGGACCCAAGGCAGGAATGTGCTTTATGACCAAGGAAAACAAGGACAGTGAACAAGACATAAGGATTTTGGCTTTTCCTTTGAAAAGAACTGACATGATGTAACTCATTTTAAAATGGTTTCCTGGCTGCTGTGTTGAGAACAGAATTAGGTGCACAAAACTGGAAATAGGAGACTAGTTAGGAGGTTATTTATAATAATAACATTTTTTTTAAAACCATGCTTGCAGTGACCAGGGTAGTGGCTGTAGAGATGGTAAAGTCAGGTTACAGACATATTTTGAAGAGAGAGTCAACAGAATTGTTGAGGCGAAATCTGAAAAAAGAATTTTCAAATTATCTTTGAAGGAGAGGAAACTATTCTGTATAATACTGTAATGGTGACCAAACACATCCAGCATTTGTCAAAATCCACAGAACTTTATAGGGCAAAGAGGAAACTTTATGTCCCCAAAAAATCATTTAGGAGGTCAGAATATGCCAGGATGGAATGCAGAATTGTGACATTCTGAATCTAGATATATTACAAATGTATTAAACCACTTCACTGAAGGGGTGGGGGACATCGGGTACTGACCTTAGAAACTCTGTAAATGAGTGGAGGCAATGAAACTGAAGGCAAAAGAACTGGACATGTGCACTGTACTCTAGTTGATATGGTTGTTAATTCTGACACCACTATACACTATACACTATACTGGAACTCAACAACTAAGTAATTGGATGTTAGATGGTGTGAACTAGGCTTGGTACAGTTGGGATGGGAGGCTATATAAGATAAGCCAGAAAAGGAGGCTAGAATAATGCGTGTGGAATGGATGAGAGGTGTAGACATCAGTATAAGCTCATGTTTAGCTTACTATACATACAGATGGCTATATACAGAAATATTTACAGATATGTATCTATACACAGGTTAGAATACACACATATATCTTTTGCTCTGTCCTCTGAGAGGGCCTAGAAACAAGGGCATCCTAGTGGCACCCAGATCTTGTTCCCAATACTATTCTCCAGTAAAAGGAACCAGAGCTCCTTGGAAAAATGATTAATTCTAGGACTGAGGGAGGATATATACAAGATGAGCCTACAGCAGGAAGTAAAAGTGTTCAAAAAACCCAAAACGAAACAACATATTTACTGGGGTATGTCAAAGGGACATAGGAGTCAACTAGAAGATCTCCTAATGGCCAAAGTTGTAACAAATTGAGCAGCAAAATAAAATAGTACTGGCTTTGAACCCAAAGTAGGAACATAAATATCCATGAGGTAACACTAACATAAATAAATGACTGAGTAAATAAATGGGAGGTGGGTGGATGAGGGTAACAAATTCCCCATAGAAAAGAATTCCAAATAATTTATGTAAATAATCTGCCTGTGTGAGGCATAACTCCACACTCCTCATAATAGCCCATACTCTTCCAAGAGAACAATATGGAAAAGGGAGGGGAGAGGAGTAACTTTACAGTAGAAAAACTTGACTACTTCAAGTCAGTCACTGGATTAGCATCAAGAGTAATAACACACTGCTAGCGAGCATCACTGATGTAATGTGATGAGACTAGCACTTTACCTCTGCGGTCTTTCCCCGAGAAACCATAACCTCAGTGTAACCATAAGAAAAACATCAGACAAAGCCCAACTGAGGGTCATTTTACAAAATATCTGACCAGTACGACTCAAAATTGTAAAGTTTATCTAAAATAAGTGTGAGAAACTATCACAGCCAAGAGGAACCTAAGGAGACATTGTTATAGGACAGGGAGAGGGACCACCCTGTTACAACATGACTACTAAATGTAATGTGATATCCTGTAACAAAAAGGACATTAGGGAAAAACTGAGCTAATGTGATTTATCAACACTGGTTCATCAACTGTGATAAATGTAACCATAGTAATGTAAAGTATTAAAAATAGGGGAAACTGGGTATGGGTTATATGAGAAGTCATTGTAGCAGTTTTGTAATAATTTTGTAAATCTAAAATAAAGTTTATTACATCAATTCCAAAGAGCACCTGCACCCCTATGTTTATAGCAGCACTATTTACAATAGCTAAGCTTTGGAAACAACCTAAATGCCCAAACATAGATGACTGGATCAAGAAGATGTGGTACATATATACCATGGAATATTACTCAGCATTTAAAAAAGATAAACACATGCAATTTGCAGCAACATGGATGGCGCTGGAAGGGATCATGCTCAGCGAAATAAGCCAGAAAGAAAAAGAAAAAGAAAAATACCGGATGGTCTCACTCATAGCAGGAATCTAGAAAACTTAAATAAGGGACCAGGAAAATGAATAACTGTAAGAAAGTGAAAATCAAAATCAACAAAAAACTATGAACCAGAGACACTTTTTGGGGGGTGGGGGGCAGGAGGGGAGGGACGGGGGTCAGAATGGGGGGGGTTGAAATTGTATGGGGAATATAAAAATAAAATTTATTATTAATTAAAAAATAAATAAACATATGAAAACTGAAAAAAAAATAAATAAAATAAAGTTTATTAAAAATTCAGCATTTCGAAGTAAGCCCTGAAACATGCATAGCTCTTCTCCAAACTTATCAAATAGTAACTAAATCTCCTTCAAGGCTGGAAAACGAAGTATTTGGTAGTGGATTCTTGGCTTCTAAGGCAGTGATTTAAAAATCCTGTTCTAAGAATTCAACTGAAACAGGCACCGGAACAAAAAATCAGTGTCGGGGGCCTCCCTGGTGGCACAAAGGGTTAAAGTACTGCACTATGAAGCAATCCACAGCCTCGACAGCATGAGTTCAATCCCAGGCCGGCCAGGGAGAAACCCACATGGTGAGGCAGACCTCTCCTGTCTCTCCCCTTGCTCCTCTCAGCAGTGTATTTCAGTCAGTCTGCCTGTTCTGTTCCCCACTCTGTCTCTGGTGGATCCTCTCACCACCACCACCCCCCCACCGCCCCGACCCCGCATCTCTGGCCTGTACCCCTGCTCTTGTATGCATAAATAAATCTTAAAAAAAAAAAAAATCAGTGTCAGGAGCTACTGTCTTAGTGCATTGGTCTGCATATACCCAAACCCGTCCCATTACAACAAATTCCTGAGAACAGCTCAAAACTGGATTTGAATATTGTCCTGGAAAGCGAAAGCATCTCCTAAAGCACAGTTCCAAGTGGCAGCCAGTGGGCTAAAACACACGTACAGATGTACTGCAAAATACAATTATTAATAATCTGAATTTGTTACCGCCACTATTAAAAGTTCGGGGCTTTACCTATTCATGTCCCAATTCTTAAAAAGAATGAATCCGTCCAGCAAATACGCACGGGCCACATACTGTTTCTGCATGCACCATCTCATTTAATCCCCAAGTCAAGCCCATCTGCCCACTGCACAGAGGAGGAAACCGAGAACTGCAGGCAAGCAGACAGCGCCCCGTTACGGGGCCACACAGGGTTCAAACCCCGGGCAGAACTGTTACAGGGCAGCCCCGGCCTTTCCCCCTACAGAGCGACTCTGGGTCCTCCCGGGCGCCCCGCGCGGGGAGCGGCAGGCGAGGGCCCGAGGCGCGCAGGCCCCGGCCCGGCTCTCAGCGGAAGCGCAGGGCGGCGCGGCTGGGCCCTCGCTTCCCGGCGGCCCGCGTCGCCTCCTCAAGTAACTGCCTACAGAGCCCGGGAAGCCACCCCGCCGCCTCGCGCCCAGCGCCGCCCGGGCAGGCGGGGACAGCCGGGCCGCGGCGCCCGAGCCCACACTCCTCTCCGTTCCCGCCGCCTCCGCGACTCCGCCCCGCGCCGCGGCCCCGGCCCGGCCGCCGGCGCCGCCGCACTCACCTCCCGCGCCGCTGCGCCGCGCCGCGCCGCGCCCCCGGAAGTGCTTCCCGCGGACCTGGATCCCGGAAGTGACGCTTCTGAGCCGCCAGCCCGCTCAGCTCCGCCCGCGTGGCTGGGGCTTGGTGGTGTGGTCGCTGGGCTTTTTCGGAACTTTCTCCTCTCTTTGTGGGTTTAAGCGGAGGGACAGCGCTGGGGATGAGACAGCTAGAACCCCTCGATTCTCTAGGCCCCTGTATGAAGGACCTAGAGCTTAAAATCCAGGGGGTGGCAAGCACGTTCTTATTTTTTTTTTTAAATAATAAATTTTATTTTTATATTCCCCATACAATTGCAGCCCCCCCATTCTGACCCCAATCCCTCCCCTCCCGCCCCCGCCCCTTATTGAAAGGGAACTGCTAAGAAAAGGAAATCTTTCCCTGTTTAAGAGTCATAGACCTGGAAATGTAAAGTAAATAACAAGTTTGCTTCCTTAATAAGCGTATCTAAACAAGGTCTGGCAGCCTGCTAGGCTGATTGATCTCCCAGGCCATCCTCAAAGATCTGTATCTTTCCCCTTTTCCTGTGTCAAGAATTTGTATGCTAACTAATCAATGTTATCAATGTAAGATGGTTGTGCATAAAAGAGAGCCTTTGTCCCCAGACTAGTGCTCAGACCTTATGGGACTATCCAGGTGTGAGACCTCATGCATGAAGATTCTCCTGACCTCACCATTCCCGAAGTACCGCTTGTTCTTCCCCTGCCTGGGTAAAAGACTAGAATTTATTTCTGCAACATTATTGTTCACAGAAGCAAATTATTAGGATGAGTTCAGAGCCTTCGCTTAGCAGCTGTTCTATGCCGTGAGCTAGTTCGTGGAGCTACAGTGCTGAAATCAGGCAGAAGTAGTGTCTGCCCTCCTGGTGGTTACAGTCTGGAAGAGGGAACTGCCAGAATTCCTGACTCCTGGTATCCGTGCTCTTGGTTAGCCCTTCTCACAATGGATGGGAGGTATCCGCATTCCTGCCCCCCATTTGGGCTTCCTGGTTGGCTCCTGCATTCAGGCCTCCTGCATGGACCTTTCAATTAGTTCCAAAAATAAGAGGTAACATTACTCCTTTTCTTTGCTCTGTGTGATTAATGAAGGTGTCAGACATTAGCTCTTAGTCTGTAAGCACACACAGGGTAGGGACAACTCACTCGTCATTGTCTTTCTGGTCTCATGATCCAGAGTAGAAACTCCATAAATATTTGTTGAATAAATGATACATCTTCAAATCCTCTGTACTACCTCACATAGTATGGAATTAGTGGCTATTGAGTAAATTATAATTATTTCTGTCTGTATTCTCCCAAGAGTGAGTTCCATGCAGGTAAGATTAGGTCTCATTCCTTTTTCAATCTCCAACACCCACCTCCTCCTTGATCTCCTATGTATTCATTATCTGTGCTGCCTAACAATTTACCCTGAAATTTATGAGCTTAAACCAATAACACCTATTATTTCACAATTTCTGTGGGTCAAGAATTCAAGAATGACTTTGCTGAGTGTTTTGGTTCATGGTCTCATAAGATCATAGTCAAGATTTTGGCGGGAGAGCTGCACTCATGTAAAGGCTTGACGGGTTGGAGGTGAAAGGTCCATGCAGCAGGCCTGAATGCAGGAGCCAACCAGGAAGCCCACCTGGGGGGCAGGAATGCGGATACCTGCCTGGAGGACTCAGACAATGAGCCTTCCCCCTCCCCCTACAAGTCTCGTCTCAGACAAAGAACCTATACCTGCCCTACAAACTTTTCCGGCCATACGAGCCCAACTACCCACCTGACCTCTCCTCGCCCTATAAAACCCTGCTTCCCCCTAACAACGTGCGCGACTCCACTGACCCCCGCCTTGGGTCTGTGAGGTCCGCCCGGGGCGCAATAAACTTTCCCTCCCTTTGAGAAATGTATCCTGGCTCTCCTTGTCTTTACCGCGCCTAACCTTTCAGGAGGATCTTCTCTCAAGATGGCTCACACAAGGCTGGCAGCAAGTTGTTGGTTTTGTGCGAGGCTTTAGTTACTATCCATGAAAACCTCTTTCTGGGGGTGCCTGAGTGTCCTCAAAACATGAATTCCCCATTAATGATCAGGAAAGAGCAAAGAGATCAGAGTAATGTTTCTACAAGTCAGGGAATACCAAAGATAGCCTGCAAACCACCAGAAAAAAGGAGAGACCCATGGAATAGATTCTGTCTTACAGTCCTCAGAATGTACTGACAGACTCCTAGTCTCCAGAATGGTGAGAAAATAAATATCTTTGTTTTCTATACATTTGTTCTAAAATAAATATCTTTGGGGGCCTCCCTGGTGGCGCAAGGGGTTAAGATACAGCACTGTGAAGCTATCCGCAGCCACTGCAACAGGGAGGTGACCCACATGGCACAGCAGACCTCTCCTGTCTCGCCTGCTGCTCAGCAGTGTATTTCAGTGGATCTGCCTGTTCTGCTCCCCACTCTGTCTCTGGTGAATCCTCGCATCCCCCCCCAGTCTCTGGCCAGTACCCCAGCTCTTGTATGCATAAATAATCTTAAAAGAAATAAAGCAAATATATTTGTTTCTTGTTTAAATCACCTAGTTTGTGGTACTATGTTAGGGAAGCCCTAGAAAACTAGTAGAGATGTGCAGGTGCTTTGAAATCTGTTATTCTCTGAATCCATATATACAAGAACCCTAGTGTAACTGCTGCAGGCATAGTTACTTTCTCATTCTCTGGAAATTTCTGGAGAGCTCCAACTAAGTCTTGCTCATCTCTGTGCCCCATATAGCTCCACTGGCACCATGGCATGGTGGGGAGCACTGTGGCATTCTTGTTTCTTGTCATAATATCTATGTGAGGCCCATTGCTCGCACTGTGAAAGAGAAAAGTTGAAAAAGCAAGGTCTGTGCTCTGAAAAATAATTCTACAATAGATGAACATGGACACAGTGAACTGGTTTGTAATCATTACATAAAGCTGCCACTTATTGAGTGTTCACTAGGCGCTAAGCACTTTACATATATCCATATTCTCCCAGCAACCCTATCAGTAGGTATTATTCCTATTTCCAAATGAAAAAAAAACCAGGACTGGAGAAGTTAAACAACTTCCCCAAGGTGTCACAGACTGCGTGCAGGACCACTGCACTACTTAACCAACCTGTGCACGCCAGACGAGCACCCAGCCTTGAATGCCCTAGAAAAAGAAGAATCAGCCGGGCCTCCCCAGTGGCACAACGGTTGAGCGTTGGGCTGCGAAACTACCCACAGTCTCTGCAGCGCCGGTTCGGTCCCCAGCCGCCAGGCGCCAGTTCGGTCCCCACATGGCGCACAGACTTCTCCTGCCTTGCCCACTGCTTCCCTCAGCAGTGTACTTCGTCAGTCTGCCTGTTCCTGCTCCCCAGTCTGCCTGTTCTGCTCCCCAGTCTGCCTGTTCTGCTCCCCGCTCTGGCTCTGGTGAATTCTCTCACCCTCCCTGAATTCTCTCACTGTACCCAGTGCTTGTATAAATAAATAAATCTTAAAAAAAAAAAAAGAGAGAGAGAGAGAGAGAGAGAAGAATCAGTCTAGACTGAGGTATCCCAGAAGGCTTTGTGATGGAGGCAGGTAGATGTGGCTCCTGGATGGTGGACTGTATTTGTATATGGGAAAAGGAAGTTAGAGGTGCAAAAATTACTTTCTACTTCTGAGCCTTTGCCTTTTTTGGTCTCTTGCCTGGAATGCTCACTTCTCCTGGCTCTCCAAAAGATAGATTTGTTCTTACTACCCTTTCGGAAAGAGTTACTTTGCTTATCCTTTCTAGCTGGTTGTGATTTTCTAATGACAGCTCTGATAATATTGTTCATCCCATATGCTCTTTGACCAATAGCTTACTGTGAAGAGATGCCCTGTCAGTTTCAGGCATGACACCTGTTTTGCAACCATCCCAGGCTGGGTAGGTTCACCATCGGTTCAGGCAGCTTAAAAGAGAACCTTGGAGCCATTGGCATCATCCCCACAGGTTTTTTTAATAGTACACAGAGGAAACAAGCCAGCAGGGAGAGAGCTACTTGGACCCTCTGTGAATTTCTATACACTCTTTCCTCTGGGCTTTCTCATGGTCTCTTCCTCTCACAACCGTCACTGTTTTTCTTGTAGCCATTCCACCTTAGCTGTCCTCTATCTTTGAGTGACACCACCCTTATAGCCTCAACCTCCAGGCCCAGGTGTGCCCACTTACACATGCTCGCACCGTACTCCAGGTGTCTACAATCAGGCATGCATGCCCCACGCCCACCCTCCCAAGCACCTTCTGCACTCAAGGCTACTGGTGAAAGGCTAATGGTGTAAAAGTCTGGCCAATTCACTTACCCTATAGCACCTAACTGGCCTGGAAGTCAGCCACCATGTAAGAAAAGCAACTAGCCTGGGACCAGCAAGCTGTGAGAAGCCCAAGCCACATGGGGAAGGAGAAAATCCAAGGAGCATATCAGACATCAAAACCAAGAGTGAAGAAGCCATCTTGGGTAGGTGGAAAGATGATGATAAAGCGAAGAGAGTAGAATTTTAAGTGTAGACTCTAGGTGCTACATATGTTATTTACTACATAATTCTTTTGACTTTTTTGTATATTTGAAAAGTTTCACTACAAAATTTTGAGTAAAAAAGAAACTATCTTCAAAGTGGTTTCTCCAGCCCCAGACACATCAGCTAATACCACATGAAGTAGACATGGATCTCCCAGCCCAGTCTTAGCCAAATTCCTGAGCTGCAAAATCATAAGGTAAAAATGAGTATTTTAAGCCACTAAGTTTTGGGTTATAGTTAACAGAAACACTCTAAATAGAACTCCCTTACTTCCCATCACAGCTTTCTACCTGAGTTCTTCTATAGCAATGCCACAATTTGTGATATCTTGTTTGCTTACTTATTTTCAATCTCTCCCCCACTAGACTATAATCTCCATTTCCTTTGTTCACTCCTATCACCCCTACCTGGCATCATGCTCGGTATGTGTAGATTCAAATAAGTGCTTGTTTAGTGGCTGGGACAAAGAGATGGGG